AACATAGTTTAATTGACATCAAGTTTTCCTAGGATATAGTAACACTTCTGCAATCAGCACACAAGAGAGTGAGGCAGGAGGTTCAAGAGTTGGAGGCTAGCATGGATCACACAGTAGACATTTTCTCACAACAAAAATAGGGAGCTGGGAATGCAGCTCAGTTGGTAGTATGCATGAAGTCCTGAGTCAATAAAGAACTGCATAAACCATCTGTAATCCTAAAACCTGGACCAGGAATTCAATTTTAGGATCAGGAGTTCAAGAGAGCATCCTAAGCTACATAGCAAGCACAAGGCCAGCCTACATGAAACCCAAAAAAAAAAAAAAAAAAAAAAAAAAAGACAGGGCAATAATGGGGTAGAGGGGCACATATCTGTAAATCATATGCCTGAGAGAACACCTGCATGGAGAACTCACAGATCTCGTAGATCAAAACTGAAAAAAAAGAAACCAACGTTTATTTTAATTTTTTCTGATTTATTGTTATTTTATATATATGAGTGCATTGCCTGAATGTATGTAAGCACACCTCTGTTGTGCAATGCCCATGGAGGTCAGAAGCAGGTGTCAGATTCCCTGGAACTGGAGTTAAGGGCATTTGTTAGCAGCCATATGGGTGCTGGGAACTGAACCTGTGTTCTCTGAAATAGCAATCAGTGCTCTTAGCTGCTGAGCCATCTCTCTAGCCCCTTACAAACCAATGTTTAAAAAAGATGACAAAAAATGCGACCAAACCATTCGCTGAAGGTCTAAGGATAGCGAATAAACATAGAAGAAAATGCTTACCAGGTACAGCATATCAGAACCAAAATGAAACAGCTCTGCCTGTCTCTTAGAATGGCAATGGTAAAAAACAAACAAACAAACAAACAAAAAACCTTGCCTTTTCAGATTTGGCAAGGACGTGGAGGTACTGGAATATTACTAGTGAAAATAGTATTGTTGCTTTTTTTTGTGACACAGACTCTGTATGGTAGAGTTTGGCATCAAATTCATCATCCTCCTGCCCCAGTTTCCTGAGTACTGAGATTACAGGTGTGTGCCCCCATGCCCAACTCAGTTCACAAAGTCAAACATACATCTGCAATATGATGCTGACCTTTTACTCTTATGAAGTTACATAAGGGAAATGAAAGCATTTGCCCAAACAAAAACTTATGAAGACTTGAAGCAGCTTTATTTGTAATCACTCAAAACTGTACAGAAGCCAGATGCCCCACAACAGATGAAAAGATCCTCAAACTGGTAAATCCCTACAATGGAGCAATAGCATGCAGTAAAAAGAATGAACTAATTGATAAATGCTAAAACATGACTGAATCTCAAAATAATTAACAATGAAAGAAGCCAGACTTACAAGAATACATGGTATATAAAGAACTCTGGAACATGGAAACTAGTTCATAGTGGATGCCCATGGTGAGGAAAGGGAGAGAGCAATTAAAAAGAGGTATTAAGTACGAGGAATAATATAGATATGTTCGTTGTGATGATGTGAGGTTGTGGTCTTACAAGTACGCTAACTACCAGACTTTAGAGCATATACTTAAAATTCATAGCTTACCATGTATTAATTATCCCAATAAAGTCACACACACACACACATACACACACACACACACACACACACACACAGAGAGAGAGAGAGAAAATGGTGATAAAAGGGGTTAACTATTCTTAATATGAGAACAGTACCCACAAAATCCATTATAAACCAATGTTCCAACTAAAAAATAAACAAAGAACTATTATAGAAAATTCACAAGAAGAATTATGTGGTGAATAGCTAATAATTAAAGAAGGAATTAATTTTAAAAAAGGCAAATCAGAAAGTGCTGCTTTTTATTCCTGTCTAACTGACCCATTGAATATCAAGATGTTTTTTCCTCCTAGGGAACAAACTGGATAAGACAGGTATGCATTTACTACTACAATTACTATGTAACAACAGTTATTTAATTATCATGCATATGTAATAGAAAGCAATTTAGACATTACAATTATGTAAAGTATAATTATACATGAAAAATAAAAAGTAGTTTATCAATCTGAATTTTAATTATATTGTTCGTTGTTTTGAGTATTTCTGGATGCTATTTCTTTTTGTAAGTACTAATAAACAGTATACTTTATTAAATGAAATTTTGAAAATATGATTTAAAAAGTAGTTTAAAAATAGTTTAATTTAATGAGTACAAAATGCTGGGTTTTTTATTTTAAAATATTTTATTTATTATTTTTATTTTTGTGTATGCATGCATATAAGTAAATACACCCATGTTGTGCAATGCCTGCACAATGAGAAGGTGTCAGATTCCCTGGAACTGGAGCTACAGATGGTTATTAGCCATCATGTGGGTGCTGGGGAATCGAACCCAGGTCTTTTACAAGAGAAGCCAGTGCTCTTAATCACTGAGCCAATCTCTCCAGCCCTGGTAAGGCTTTTTAAAAAATAGATTATCGCCGGGCATGGTGG